AGTGTTGTTGGCAGCTGTGATGGTTTGTGCAAGCAAGATTTGGTTGTTATAGCTAGGGTAATGACTTTATAAATCCTTTGTAATCAGTTTATAAATATTCCTTGAAATGATTACTACTAGGTACTGAAATGGTTATGTGATAATAATTGAAAGAAAATACGTAATATTTGTCTTGTTTATATGGTTTTAATAACATCATAGTGGTTTGCTGGTTATGCAACTCCAAACTATGGTGGGTATCTTGTGAAGAAGAGATGAATGACATGCTCTATATTATATGGAAAGCAACACCAGTAAGGCATGGTGAATGTCTTTAGACAGAGGAGTTAAAGAATGTATACAATTGCAAAGTCATAATTATTTGTTATCAAAATTAATTTATCATAATTACTAATTAATACTTAACTATAAATAAAAGAAAGTTCGGAAAACAATTTAAATTAAAAAATAGTCATACAAAATTAATATAGATCATGATTATAATGAAAGAAAAACTTTTACTGAAAAAAAAAAATTCATGTTAAGGACACAAATGATTTTAAAACCAAAATTTCTTTTTATTTTTATTTTCCCTTGTTTCATTTGAAAAGGAGGTATATAAATTTTTGTAGAGATGAATTATTTGAAGAAAACAATTAGTGGTTAATAGTTTAGCTAAGTTTTTGGAAGTTGATGAAGATGCATCATGTCGTGGGCACTTAGTGCCTCTCGGTTCCACCATCGACAGCCAATGCCAAAATCATTCATTTTTATATAAACTTGATAATGACATTGTGTGCGCAACCATTCATACACCCTCATCAACCAAACAACAATCAGAATTGTTATAAAAATATCCTTTTTAATAAAAACATATTAAATAAAACAACAATCAGAATTATTATAAAAATAAGATTTTTAATAAAAATATTAAATAATATAGTAGTTAATATTTCATATACGAATTAGAGGGTCTGATCTCGTGTTTATCGTGATAAGATCGTTAGGTCTATTGTATAAGGTATATCCTTTATAAAATTTTAATTCGTCATGATTTTATTCTTGAGATGTATCTCGGTGGATTGAGAAAGATGATGTATATAAAATACTTTTAACATCGACCACTGAACGATGTGAAAATTATGAATATACTAGAATATAAGATCCCAAGTCAATAATTAAAGAATATGGATGAAATGAGATTTTGCTCTTAATTCAACCACTACTAGAAAAATGGTTAATAGTGACCGAAATTAGTGACCGAAAAATTCAGTCACTATTAGTAACTGAATTAGTGACTGATTCCCCTTTTATATTTAGTGACTAAAATTTCTGTCACAGAAATCGGTCACTGATTTGGTCACCAAATTAGTCACTGATTCGGTCACTACTAGAAAAATGGTTAATAGTGATCGAAATTAGTGACAAAAAAATTCAGTTACTAATAGTAACTGAATCAGTGACTGATTTCTCTTTTTATATTTAGTGACTGATTTAGTGACTAAAATTTTAGTCACTAAACAAATAATCTAAAAATTAGTGATCATTTTTTATTTATATAAATATTTTTTAAAAATATTTTAATAATATATTAAATATAAATCTACTTAATAATTTAAAATAATTGATAAAATTTTTAATAACATTATAAAAATTTTAAAAAATAGTTTATTAACTTATTAAATAATTTAGTAATATAATTATTTTATTTTATTTTTTAATTTAGTATGTGAATAAAAAAATTAAAATTAATTATTAAATTAGTTACCGAATCGGTCACTGATTCGATCACTAAATCGATCATTAAAGTAATTATTAATTTAGTCTCTTATATATATATACATATATATATATATATATATATATATATATATATATATATATATATATATATATATATATATATTACTTTTATGTTAATAAAAATGTATTTCAATGTATTTATAAAAAAATTAAAATTATTTTAATTATTGAATTGATATTTTAAATTTATATTAATATCTTAAATAATTTAATAATTGGATAAATATTTTAAGTTTATATTAATATTTTTATAAAAGTGTAAAGATTAAGTGAACTTATTTTAAAATTTAATTAAATATAATACTATAATATACTATTAACCATAAATCTGTGAAGATTTAGTTAGAAATTAATTTTAAGTTTTATCGTTTTTATTTAAAAAAATTGTTAAAAAAATCAAAATAATTAATTAAAATAAAGAATTTTAATTTAATAAATGTGTTAATATTATTAGTTATTGGAGAATTAAATTTATAATAATAATTATATAAAATTATAGAATTAATAAAATTTAAATTATTGGTATTTTTGTAATCATGAAGCTAAAATTTGATAATATTAATAAATTAAAAAAAATTATATATATATATATATATCACTTTAATTATTTTAATTAAAAATAATTTCATAAAAAATTAATATTTGAAAATAAAAATGCATAAGTATATATTATTTTCTTTTATTTAATTATATTTTTTACTTTTTACTTTTTGGGTTTTAGTCCATAACAACAACTTAGTTGCCCTAATTTTAGTTTAACCTAGAAATCTCATCGTCTTATCACAAAAATATATAATTTCTCTTATTAACAAAGTTTTTTTTATCGGATTAAGAAAATTATCACTAATAAGATTCAAAACCAGAACCTTAGAGTTAGATACTAATACTCCAACCACTAAACTGTTAGAATTTTCTAATAAAAATTTACAAATAAATTATATTTATATACAAATAAATTATATTTATATACAAATAAATGTATATCCATGTAAATATATAAATACAAATATATTTATATATTCCGATATATTTATATGTTCAAAGTCGAGGTCACGCTAGAGGGTGAAAGTGTGTGTCGAGTGAGTTTTCAAAATTTGATGTCAAATTTGTGAGCGAGTCTTTTATATGAATTTGTAATTTAATGATAGAATATAATCTTTATAATTTATTTATATAATGATATAAATTAATTGTTTTCTTTATTTATTTTTATTTTATTTTAATTTATTCTTTTTATCTTTTTTTCTTCTATTATTTAATTAAAATTCTTATATTAAAACAATTTTTTCATTATTAAAAATAATTAAATATTTATTTTCAAATTATTTTTTAAAATTATTTAATTTAACAAATTATTATAAATTAATCTATGTCTGGAAAAAATAATTATTAAAAGATGATTTTGATTAATTTATAATAATATATGTTAGGAAAAAATTGTTCTATTAATAATCATAATTAGATTAATTTATAATAATTTGTTAAATTAAATAATTTTAAAAATAAATATATAATTATTTTTAATATTGAAAAAATTATTTTAATATAAGAATTTTAATTAAATAATAGAAGAAAAAAGATAAAAAGAATAAATTAAAATAAAATAAATAAAGAAAAAATTATTTTATATCATTGTATAAATAAATTATAAAGATTATATTCTGTCATTAAATTATAAACTCATATAAAGAGATCCGCTCACAAATTTGACATCAAATTGTGAAAATTCACTCGACACACACTTTCACCCTCGAGCTCGCCCTCACATCCAACATATAATTATATAAATATATTTGTATTTGTATTTATATATTTTATATTTATATATTTACATGGATATATATTTTTATTTGTATATAAATATAATTTATTTATAAATTATAATCATAAAAATCCTAGTAGCTTAGTGATTGGAGTATTAGTCTCTAACTCTAAGGTATTCGGTTCAAATCTTGTCAGTGACAATTATTTCAATCTAATAATAATTCAAATTTCTAAAAAATATAATAGATAATTAGATAAAATAGAAAGGGGTTATAAAAAAATATTTTTAATTTTTTAATGTTTTTGTTAGTGACCGATATAGTGACTGATTCTGAAATCAACGACCAAATAAATAGTGACCGATTTGGGTTGGTTACTATTTTGATCACTATTTGATGTTTTTGTTGTAGTGTATTATTGACAACAAATAATTTAATCCAACAAAAGCAAGAAGGTGTGAGGTTGGTAGGAGCACGCTCCTCTTGAACGAAAGAGGTAGTGTACAATAAAAGATAAAACAGGGTGAAATCAATTTTGAGCATAATTGAAGAAATATGGCTATCCTATTTCAGATATAGATGCCTACATGCAAATATATTGGTAGTAGCAACAATATTTTGGATAATGCTTTGAATTCATTTATGTCTTGGCAATAAGCAACAGAGAAATTGAGTGAAGATTGGGGAGTAATTATAGCTTGTTGATCTCTTTAACCTTGTTATTATTATCTAATTATTTTCCTTTTTGTTTGATTCTGTCACTGCACAAATGCTGTCAAAGGAAGAAGATAATTAATAAATCATGCATCATGTTGCTTGAATATTAAGCTGCGTGCCCTCTATGCCCTTCTATATATGTGGCATCTTTATCTCCTGTTACAACAAGTTCTTTTTATTCCATAAAAAAAAAAAATATCTTATTGAATTCACCAACATCATGTAAACACAAAATTCAGCACATCTTCATTCTTCAAAATGGACATGAGGAGAGAGAGTTAAACTGTTATTAACAACTAATCTTTTAACACATCCTTGCTAACACCCTCTTTATCAGTAATTAAAAGTTATCCAAATTACTATCATAATTACTTGTATTCTTTAATTAAATGATTCAGAAATTAGATTATGATAATGTCACTGTCACAAAAACTATATTGAAGAAGAATAATTAAAGTATATTTTTAATGTTAGAAGATGGGCCACTAATCATCATTGTTTAAAATTATTAGAGATTGTCTTGAGGGTATGGGTTCCTAATAAAACAAGCTTTCTAAAAATATTAGTAAATATCAGTTTCAGCATCTTGTGTTTCATACCTTGCTGTTTGTTCAGCTTCCACTCCTCATGCATATCTTCTGCTATACGAATATATATTTATACCCAAGTTTCTTGTATCCTCCGAGAGGTGGGAGAAGATTACTAAGTGCCAGTAGCATAGACATAGAAATCATCACCATGGGAAGGAAAATAAGCCAAGCATCTCCGAAAATATCTAAGGATGAACCTCAGAAACATCAATTCAATAGTTTGATTAAGGTTTTGCGGCCTAAGGTCTACATCACTGACAACTCAAGCTTCAAGAAGTTAGTTCAAGAGCTAACTGGCAATGGAAGCCCCACCACTTTGTCTCCACCTCCTTTGGAACCAAACTTGGTTCATAATTGCCCCCTTATTAGAACTGAGTCTCATAATGGCTCTCAAACTAGTCCTGATGATCTATCAGTTTTTTCTCCTGAAGCAAACTCACCGGAGTTGTGCTATGATGCATTGATGAATGAAGAGTTTAACCAAGTTTGCAATCAGTTATGCTTAGATGACCTAGCCTTCCAAGAATCTGTGGCTAACCAGTCCATAGACCATTTGTTGGCATATCAGAGTTTCGAGTCACTACTGTTTGATGTTGAGCAAAATCCCTTGTACAACTGTTATGAACAAATGGAGCAGCCAGATGTGAGCATATATGATTATGAGTTGTCAGGACTACTCTAGAAACATGTCTATCTTTCATGGAAGATCATGCACAATGTTGTTTGTAGAGTTACTTTTGTAGTTCTCGTCTTGTTATTATATGGATGTATTATAAGTATTCTTTTTTGTATATATAGCCATCTTCAACTGTTTCTTGATGCATAGATTTTGCTTTGAGTTTGTTTTCATGGTATTTTCAATGAGGGTGAACATTTATGTCTTGTACTGGTTTGAATGGTTATAGTTTATTCATCATGCATATGAAGCATGTCACCATCTTGGGTTAACCTAATAAGCAATATTGTGCTCCAATTTTCTTCAAACAAAGGCCATTATTACTAATGATGTTGATGAATCTCACTCACTTGATTACCAATGATACATATATTCAGTAGATGAAATCTAGTAACCTTATAGAAAATAATATTATCACTTCTCATAATTCATTTGCTTTCTTCATCTATTCCATCTCAGAACAGATTAAACAGAAATAGTAATATTTTATGATTATATTGAATATTATACATTTCTTATGCGTTAGAATTTAAGTAAGCAAGAATTTGAATAATATATAAATGAAAAAATACGTCACAAAAACTTAAAAAGAGTTATTTATATATAACTCAAAAGTAAAAATTTATACTAATTATATGAAAACATTTATATAACTTAGTTTATATATAAACTAATTTCTATAGAGAAATTTATTTTATTTTTCTTTTTTTTTAATTATTTTGAGGAGTTTTTTCAAAACACTATATATTAATTAATGAATAATATATATTGATGTGTGTAGCTTTGTGATGAGGGGAGGACAAAACACATACTTATAATATATTGAAAAATGTTGATTTAAACTCAGTAGCAAACAAATTTGTGAACCATTGATGGCGTGCCTACAAAGTCCTTCTACCTCATGCACTTGTTTTTTTTTTTTTTCTTATCACCTGCATAGAAAACGTATATAGAAGCTCATGCCATAATATTTTATACAATTTCTACAAAGTAGCTTCATTCATAAATTAAGTTGTATACATATTTTATGCCATACAAATCTCCGGTTTTGTGTATCTTTTCAGTGTGCACGATGATGAAAGCATGTAGAATAAAGTGGTTGGTGGGGAATTTATCTTGTACGTTATCCTTATTTGTGGAGGTTAGGGTTGCAAAACAAAAAATTTCGGAATAATTTAAATCATTGTTATTAATTAATGAAGTAAATTAAGATTATCATATATCTTTTTTATTCACTCGATAAAAGTTGTATGATTAAGTGTTACTTAACTATTACGAAAAATTTGAAAAGAAAAAAAGTTTGCATGACATATATTCAAACAATAGAATTCATATAGATGAGATAACTACCAGTGAAAAAATTTCCAAGAGAGACTGTGAACTTTTGTCTAAGAATAGTTCAATTTTGAGGGTTTATTTTTTAAATAAAATTTTGGATACTTATTAACAATTTAAAAAAAAAACTTATATTTAAAAGGTATTTGTGTTAGACACTACAGTTTTAAAATAAAAAAATTATAATTGTATAACATGTAAATTTTTGTAAATATAATGTATTAAATTATATTATTAGATAATTTAAATATATTTATAATAAAACAAGTATTTATTAAAAAATTTATTGTTAAATTATTACTAAAAATAAATAAATATTTATTAAAAATTATTATTATTATTATTTTTGTTTAATTTATAGAAATAAAATAAGAAAAAATATTAATTATTATTTTCCTTTTTAAAATAAATAATTATTAATATATATATATATATATATATATAATTATTAAAAAAAATATAAGGTTAACTTATCTCACTAAGAGATAAGTTTTATCCTAAAGCCATGAAGTCATTTAATAGGCTAATCAAATAAATTAAAAAGAAAAAAATGGTTAAAAAAAAATAAAAATACTTTCTAGAAAATATATACAAATAAATATATATTTACATGGATATATATTTATTTATATATAAATATAATTTATTTGTAAGTTATTATCAAAAAATTTTAGTAGTTTAGTGGTTGGAGTATCAATTTTTAACTCTAAAGTATTGGGTTCGAATCTTACCGATGACAATTTTCAAATTTAAGTGAGTTTTTGGCTGAAAAAAAAAAGACTTTCAACGTCGGTTGTTCCCTGAACCGACGTGGAAAGTGTCAATAAGTAAAAAAAAATAAAAAAAAAGACTTTCAACGTCGGTTCATATGGGAACCGACGTAGAAAGTACTTTCTACATCGGTTGACTAAGAACCGACGTAGAATGTGTTTAATATTCAATTTCAACGTCGGTTCATCTGGGAACCAACGTGGAAAGTACTTTCTACGTCGTCTCAGCTATAACCGACGTTAAATGACGACGTAGAAAGTATATTTTGTAGTAGTGGGTCCATGTGGGAGATAGATCAAAGGAAGAATAGAGGAAGGAAAGAGACGATAGACAGAAAGGAAGTAGGAGAGAAAGAGACTCGAACGGGAGAGGAAAACAAAGAGAGATAAAGAAAAACAATTTTAGGTATAAATTTGAGTGTATTATATGTAATTATTGAGGTAGAGGATAAGACATTTATCATTTTATCTATTTTAATTTTAATTATGATTATGGAGTGAGGTATTTTTAACCTCATTCTACTTATTCTGTAATATTTATTTAATTTCAGTTACGCACTAATCCTATTTGTTTAATTTCAGTTATGCACGGGTCCTCATTTATATTTATTTATCTCTAGTTATGCATTAATTCTATTATGTTTATTTATTTTATCTCCAAGTACGCATTGATTCTCATTTATTTATTTATTTTTCTCGATTTACGCACTAGTCATATTTATATTTATTTAGGAAGATTTGATGACATTGTAGATGAAGGTTGAACCTTGGAGATTAAAATGAATAAATATTACTTAAAGAGTGGTTAAGATTGGACTCATTTATTCTCACTAATTAGTACACATTTAATTCAAATCTTCATATAATGATGAAGTTGAAAACTAGATTTTATATATCATTTTGTTATTATATTATCACTACAAGAAAAAATCATTTTAGCGACCGAAAAATTCGGTCACTAATGTTAAAAAATTGTGAAAGTGATCCTAGCAAAGATCTCATTGATTTGATGAAGTCAAAGATAAAGTCAAGGGTCAACTCTACAGCAGTCAAACAAGTCACTCAGAAGAATGGAGCTGAAGACTTAGTGTGTCTAAACGGAAAGCTTAGGTAAAACCACTTTACCTTTTCCATCGCATAAAGCTTCTTCATTCATCTTGCAAAATGCCTCAAAAACAGTTTTTAACAAATCAAAAACAAAAGCATTTTGGCAAAGAATTTTCTTAAACAAGTTATTAACCGATACAGAGTTTGAAAGAATCAATTTAAAACACTTAGAATGTTTTAAAAAGTGTTTTTACAATATTTTAATCGATACAAACTTCTTTTAATCGATTAAAACTCTTTATGACCGATTAGAATTCGAATATAATAGGTCAGAATGCAATATAATCGATCAGATCTTAAATATGAGCGATCGAATTATTTTAATCGATTAAAACACGTTTCAATCGATTAAAATCACTTTGGATGTCAGGATGATCGATCAGAATGAGATTATGACCGATCGAAGTTGGTTATGATCGATCAAATTGAATTATGACCGATCAGACTTATTTCAATCGATTAAAACGTATTTCAATCGATTAAAATAACTTAGAAAATCTTTTCAATCGATTAAAACGAACTTTCAATCGATTAAAATGACTTGAAAATATATGTGCAGATTTTCAATCGATTAAAACGACTTTATATCAGCTAAAATAACTTGGAAAGTTTTATAAGAAGGTTTTTAAACAAATCAATCGATTAATACGCGATTCAATCGATTGTTTTATACTTAGAAAATGTTTGTAAAACGTTTTAACTGATAAAAACGTGGTCGTATCAACTAAAACATTTTCTGTTAAAGATCAAGAATGCATTAATGGGTTGAAAGGACTTGTAACAAATTGTAACGACTATTTCAACAGATTCAAACAAACTTTCAACTGATTAATTAATGCAGCAGATTTGAAAATTCTCTTTAAAAACAGTTTTGCTTGAAACTTTTAAAAAGAGATTGAATATCAGTTTTTACACAATTCAAGCAATCAATACAAACAACTATTAGCATTTTTCAAGAAAGATACACAACTGTTTTTGTGAACTTCTTTTGAAATCTTTCTTGAGGCACTTTGCATCCTTGAAGAAGAAACTTACTGTGGATTGGTGTAATCCGGTTTGAGCTTTCTAAGTCTCTTCTTTGTAAATTCTTTTTCATTACTTTGTATTGTGTTGTACCTGGAATTTGGGTACAAGTTTTTTCTCAAGTTGGTAGGTGGTTGTAGAAGTTTCCAAGAACTGGAATTTGGTTCTTGGTGGTTGAGTACGAGAACTGGAATTTGGTTCTTGTGCTTGTTTGGTGCCTGGAATTTGGGCACTTGGTTTCTCTGCAACTGGAATTTGGTTGTAGAGGTTATCAAGAGCTGGAATTTGGTTCTTGGTGGGAGAGGTTAAGTGCGAGAACTGGAATTTGGTTCTTGTACTTGTTTGGTGCCTGGAATTTGGGCACTTGGTTTCTCTCGTAGCTGGAATTTGGTTGCGAGAGGTTTCCAAGAGCTGGAATTTGGTTCTTGGTGGAGAGTTAGAATAGGTGTAAGAGTGTGAGTCTGTAAAACATCTATTCTAGTGGAACCCAGCTGGAATTTGGCTGGAGACTGGACGTAGCCCTGGTATTGGGTGAACCAGTATAAAATTACCGGTGAAATCTTTCCTAACCTTTCTCTCTTTAAATTCAGTTGCTGCGCTTGTATTGTTTAATTGCTTTGTGATTCGTGAATTGATTAGTAAACTTAATTTTCGAATTAGATAATCTGTTTATTGCGAAAAACTTTCAAAAATCAATTCACCCCCCCTCTTGATTTAAAACTACTATTCTAACAATTTGGTCGCTAATCTGTTAGCGACCGAAATGCGTCA